GGATGATGATGGAATAGATGAAAATCGAGGTTGGGTAGAAGGTGTTTGAGGAAATGCTTGAGAAAGGTACTCTAGGGTTGGCTCACTTTATGATGATGAAGGCCACTTCTAGGGTTGTTTATCTCAAGGTGGAGATGGGAGGGAGGTGGCTGAATTAGCCAAAGGTGACTAAGGAAGGATATAAAGGCACAAAAGGCTCTCTTTATATTCAATATCCAAAGTATTTACAAGGTGTGGTGCCTAGGGTATTTATAGGAGTGGGAGGCATCTAGGGTTGCATTTAGGGTGCCAAATGCACACCAAATGAAACCCAAATTAACCCTAGATGCAACTTGGTGGCCAAGGATAGAATCTTTGGGTTTAGTTAGGCTACATCTAGGTGCATGATAAGACCATGCAACCTTTGCCCTCCATTGGGCCTAAGCCTTTCTAAGTACAAAAATAGGTCCAAACACCACCAAAAATACGTCTAGCTCCCTAATTAAATACATTAGCCCAAAATTAAAAACCTATGATCTAAAGCACCCCATAATACAAGGTTAAAATGGGAAATACAAAAGAAAATAAATCCTATGACTAAGATACCCCATAATACAAGGGTAAAATGGGAAATACAAAAGAAAATAAATCCGATGTCTAAGATACCCAAAATACAAGGGTGAAAATGGGAAATTTAAAGATAAGGGCAAAATAGGAATAAATTTTACGCTAATAAAAACGTAGGAGCTAAGGCCCAAAAGTAGGCCCACTCCTCTTAGGGTTTTCCAAATTAACCTATTCCTCTTTCCTCTTTCAAAATAACACCTCTTGGTCTTTTTGGCCTTAGTGTGATTCCATCAGAATACTTGGAGAACTAGAAGTGGTTTAAGAATACTAGCGCTGGTGAGTGAAGCTGGCGGGCCAGGAGTGGTCGAGAATACTTGGAGAACCAGAAGTGGTTTAAGAATACTAGTGCTGGTGAGTGAAGCTGGCGGCCCATGAGTGGTCGAGAATACTTGGAGAACTAGAGGAGGTTTAAGAATACTAGCGTTGGTGAGTGAAGCCGACGGGTTAGGAGTGGTGAAGAATACTTAGGTCCAGGAGTGGACGACAATACTCAAATGTTCTTAAACTTCATATATAGTGGAACCCTTCAGTTTATGGAGACTGGACATAGCTCAATTTGAGTGAACCAGTATAAAAATACTTGTTCTACGTCTTAATGTTTCAAACGCAATTTATTTGATTAATCTAATTCACTGAAAACTTCGTCTAATAATTATCGTCTATCAAAGTTATCTTTGGACGAAAACTATAATTGCTCAATTGATTATTCTAAAAGAACAACTTTTGTTTATGAAGTATTTTTCTCTTAGCAAATGATGAAACCTCCAGAAGAAAAATGATTTTGGTAAACCAATCTTGGGTTATTTCTGTTCAAGCATTCACTAATGATATCTTTACTGGACGAAAGAGAGCTTTATTGTGAAATGTTTTAAAAACTCCTTTGTTCACTTACACACACATATTCAACCCCCCTTCTATGTGTTTTTTCGGTAACTTCAAAATTGATGATGGATTCATGTTTTGGATAATTTCTGGGTATGGGTATGTGCTATTTTGTATATGACTATGAGAAGTTCATTGTATGAGACTATGTGAATATGACGTGAAAATGTGAAAAGTGAACATATGATTTGTGATATGATATTATGAGATAATGTGACATGAGATATGATGAAACGTGATAAGTGAAATGTTGAGTCAATGAAATAGTGAATGTGTGACATGCATCATGTGCATATATGACTCTAGGTGTGCCACTTAGGTCGCATGCCAGTGATGTATTGAGCTATTCTAGGGGTACCTTCGATCACCAATGATGAAATGATCTATTCCAGGTGTGCCACTTAGGTCGCATGCCAGTGATGTATTGAGCTATTCCAGGTGTACCTTGGGTCACCAGTTATGAAATGAGTTATTCTATGTGTGTCACTTAGGCTTCATGCTATAGATGTATTAAACTATTCTAGGTGTACGTTGGGTCACCAGTGATGTATTTATGAATGAACATGCCCCATGTATGTTGCTACAACAACATACCAGTGATGAGAAATGTGCAACTTCCATATGGCACCATATGCATGCATTTATGAGTCGAGTCCATGACATTGTTGCATGATAAGTTAATGTGTATGTATTCTAATGCATCTATAACTTGAGAGTTGTGCTTGGTTATGTGTAACTTGTGTGATATTTTTTATGATTGTGTGTATGTTGCCTAACATTTATTTCTACATCTGAACCAGAGTGAAATGTTTCTCACTCCCTTGTTGCTCTATGTGTATTTTTATGGTGTTGCAGGTGATCATCAACATGTGGATGTTGGTGATGAGGTTTAATTCTCATTGTGGGGTGTGCTCTGATAAGACATGTGACATCGGGTTTAGTTAGGATTGATTTAAAATGTTACCCTTGTTAAATTTCTTAGAAGACCTTGATTTTATTCTTTTGTAATTTTCGCATTAAACTATGACTTATGATTTATGAATGTGAACTCTTTACCCTTATGTGGTTAGATACTTGGATTTTATTTATGAAGAATTTTATTTATCTCTATTTATTGTATAATTATGTATGTGGGGTATAAGGTGTCACATTAATCCCCAAGAAACCTAAGAGATAGAAACTCAAATTGAGGACTTATTGAAGAAGGGTTAGGTTCAAAAGAGTCTTAGCTCTTGTGCGGTTCCCGTTCTTTTGGTGTCTAAGAAGGATGGAAAATAAAGGATGTGCACAGATTATAGAGCCATTACTCAATAGAAAAGAATGGCTTAGTCCAAGAGGGGTTGAATTGAATTTAATGACAATTAAAAAATTTATCAGAGTTTAAGGATCTTAATTTCTTTGAACTTTTCTAAAACCAATTTCCAATGAAGTATATTGAACCTCTTAGTATATTGAAATGACTCCTATATGATTTCTTGGTTAATATTTATTGAATCAGCTTAAACAACAATTTATATGCAGTGCTTGTGTTCCATTTTAAACCATTTAGTCATACAAACATATTAATCAACACCATCCATTTTAACATTCAATTAAAGATTGTTCAATGTAAATGATAAGGATAAGAGAAGAGTGAAAAGTGTTTTATCCTAGTTCAACCACTCCACATGTGACCTACATCCAATCCTCAATCATAACCTGATCAAGATTTGTTCCACTATCTCAATGAAGAAGTTTTACAAGCATACCACACATGCACACACTTCCATATACAAGATAGACCCTTTCTTGCACCCAAGAAAGCACTTCTTCTCGAAACGCACTACAAGAATTCCTTACCACTTGAGAAACCTACTCAAGATTTTTACCACAATACACAAAATGATTAAAGGAATGAATTCACCTGGAAACTGAACAAATCAGACTATGAGTTCTTGACCAATCTTAATTCCTCTTTCCATGAATGTAGTGATGATCATGATTCTTCTCAAAGCATTTCACAAGGTGTTTTACTTCTTGGTTTCACAAAGAAAACTCTCCAAGAAGATAACAAAGATCAAAAGTTTATCACAAAGATTTCACAAAATTAATTATTCTCTTCTCTATTAGTTGTTCTTAGTTTCTGAATAAGAGAACCATTTTTATAAAGTTTTTAGACTCAGATAATTGATTATTTTTAAAGATAATCGATTATTTTGTTCTTCATGAATTCTAGAAATTACTCAAGAACAGAAAAATCAATTATTTTGCAGGATAATCGATTATTCCCGAGAGCACTTTCTGGAATAATCGATTATTTTACAGATAATCGATTATTACAGCAAGGTTTCTCAACCTCTTAAAAAATAGAGCTGAAGTAATCGATTATAGTTAGTAATAATTGATTATTTTGGGTTAGTTTTCAAATTTCGATTTCACACATTCAGAACCTTTCCAAGTTACTTTTAATCATCATCATACTCACTCTTAGACAATTATAATTAAGATTTAACTCATGCACAAAGCACAAACATGCATAGAAAATAAAATTGACCAACAAAGCAACTTAGCACATATGAACACATAAACGACTCCTATTACATTTGGTATTCATCCATGTCTTCATGTCTTCTATTCACTACAAGAAAAAGTCAAATTTCCCACGGACCAAAATCCGTCGGAAATTTCCCACGGATTTAGATCCGTGGGAAATTTCTGACGGAATTTCCCACGGATTTTTACATGAAGGAATTTCCGACGGAATTTCCGACGGATTTAAATCCGTGGGAAATTTCCGACGGAATTTCCCACGAATTTATATCCGTCTGAAATTTCTGACGGAATTTCCCACGGATTTAAATCCGTCTAAAAATTTTTACGAAGTTTCCCACGGAATAAAATCCGTCTGAAATTTCTGACGGAGTTTCCCACATC